AACCTGAGAACCTCAGCTGCAGAACTTCAGAACCTCAGCTGCAGAACCTCAGCTGCAGAACTTCAGAACCTCAGCTGCAGAACCTCAGAACCTCAGCTGCAGAACTTCAGAACCTCAGCTGCAGAACTTCAGAACCTCAGCTGCAGAACTTCAGAACCTCAGCTGCTGAACCTCAGAACCTCAGCTGCAGAGGAGCAGCTGATGGTGACTGAGCTCCATGAGCCCGGCTCTGAACGTTTACTAAGAATGAAGTTGAGTCACTTTAACACTTTAAATAAATTACAACCACTAAACTGCTCCAGAGACCCCCCAGCCCCTCCTGACCCGACCCGCCAACACTCTCTTACTCTGGAGAGGCTTCGAAAAGGACCGGCTGCTCCTCTCCTCTGTGGAAACATGTTCAAGAGCCTCGTTGACCCAAACCTGTTTTTAGATTCATTGTTCAAGCAGTTTGAAAACATGACGTAAAAAATAAAACTGTACACTGATCTGAATCAAACGCCGCAGATTAAAGCATTCACTCCGGTGTTTGTATTAAATTCTGAAATGTGGGTCTGCACTCAGTGTAAACACAGAACTGAATCTGGACCGACTGTATCGGGATCATATACGATGAAACTGGACAGGAGCAGAACCTCAGAGACGTTTAGACCCATTTTTACTCACTTGGGTTCTTTCTGAAGGTTAACAGCTGGTCATCACATCTGCTTTCATTCTTTTAATTGATGGACGTTAATTATTAATCTGAATAAAACGGAAGGATGTTTGTTTTAATGATCTTAAAACATTAAAACTGCAACTCAGCACCACTTGAAACAAACAAGGAGCTGCAGAGAAAGTAAAAAAAAAACACCTTCTGGATGGAAGGTGAAACGTTTCAGCAAAAAAAAAAGAAACTGTCCAGATGACCTGACTGAAAATTGTTGGATTATATTCCTGGATTATTGCGCATGGACTGTTTTGGTAAAAAAAAAAAAAACAACAGTTCAACTAAAGGTGCCACCTCACCAGTTTTAGAAACATCGTTTTAGTCAAACTTAAAATAAAATTATTCACAATCACACACTCTTTGTGCTGTTAATGACTCTCAGACTTTAGGTCAATATCTGTAAACCTGACTGAGTTAATCAATAGGAGATCGATTGATTACCTTCTGATAACTGATCAGGTTCATCACCTGCTGTAGCGCCTTCTGTCCAGCAGGGGGCGCTGTGACCTCCGTGTTCACATCTCAAACCTTGTTTTTAAGTTTTAACAAGTTGAAAACTATTGAAAACTGTTTAATTATTGAAAATAAAAATAACGATTACTCTACTTTAAATATATTTTAATACCTGGAGCCACTTCTTTACTCCTCTTGTCTGTTTTTTCTGCAGTTTGGCTGCTTGGAAGTATTTTTAACTCTTTGGGCTGGATGACTCTCATGTTCATGTTTGTGGTGATGTTCAATGTTTTATGTTATGAGTGCTTAGTGTATATTTAGTTGATGTTTTTCTTAGTTCATATCTTAGATGTTATTACTGTTTTTCTTATACATTTTATTGTTGGATGTAGCTGGGACCCTGCGTACATAATTTCGCTCCACCACATGTACCACATGAGGTGCGAATGACAATAAAGAAACTCTGACTCTGACTCTGACTCTGGATGAGGACTTGTGCACAGCTTTAACCTGGAGGTCCAGAAGGTTCTGTTGCTGAAGGGCCCGACCCAGCAGGACTCCTGCAGCGGGACCTCTGACCTCCCTCAGTCTGACAACACAGGCTGTCAATCACCCTGCTCCTCACAATACGCCTCCTGCTGGCAGGAGGAGGAGGAGGAGGAGAAATGATGATGATGATGATGGAATGACCAACAGGAATGTGAAAACAAAAACAGAAACCTGCAGAAACATGAAATTTTACTGACAAAGAAAAATAAAAGTCAACATTTCAAAACTAATTTAAAAAAAAAAAAAACGTACCTGTATATATTTTTTATCTTTAACTTGGCTTTTTTTAAACAAACTTCAGTGTTTAGAAAACATCAATTTATTTAAAGGCAAATGTAAAAAAAATAAAAAATGAAAGTAAAAATGGGTTTCAACAAATCTTAAATTTTATCTTTAGGGTGCACAGAACTCGTCGAAGACGAGGCTCCGTCCATGAAACTTATTTTTCTATGAATAAAAAGCGATTGGCCTTTTTCATGTCTTCACTGATGTATTGTCTCAGCCATTATTTATTTCCATTAAAATACATTTAATCTATGATTCAGATTATTTTAAAACTCATTTGTGCCATTTTTGATCAAAGATTAAAAAGTTCTTTGCTGTATCCGGATAGTTTTTATTCACTCTGTAGAGTTTAGTTTAAGCAGTTTTAATGTCCAGTTAATATTTAAGCTCGTGTTGTGATTACATCAGTTTTACATTTAAAGTTAAAACAATGTCAGGTGTCACAGCAGAGGATATTTTATTCTAACTCGTTTTTTTGAAAAGCAGATACGTCCAGGCTTCCAGCTTCAGATTGGAGGCAGATTTAAAAATCAAGTGACAGATTTTTTTTATGTTTAAGTTCATTTTATAAAACCACCCTGATGCTCAGAACCAAACTGAGCTGCAGTACCAACAAAAGACAGCAGGGGGAGCCAGAGCTGCAAAAAACAAGGTAATTTTTCCCACAAATAAGAAAAAAAAAAAGTTAAATAACTTTAAATATAAACTTTAGTCCATGTTTTATTTATGAACAAGTACTAAGGCTTGCAGACTTGTCTGGAATTATTTAAAAATATAGATGAAACAAGCAGTAAAATGACATTTATTAGTGTTTAACTCTGAATGGACTTGATTTTTAAAGAAAACTTTGACCAACAGTTGATAATGATCTAAAATATTTTACAATTAATCAACTGAACTGATTCACATTTAAGGGAAGAATTGATCGAAACTTTAAAAAACGTGGAAGTTTATTAAAACCCTAAAACGTTGCAGTTAAGATGTAAACAAAAACAAAACGACGTAAAATAAATCTGTATTTTATAATTTTGGGAAACGTCATTTGGCAATTTTTAAACAAAACAAGCTAAAATGACTTTAAAATTAAATTTAAATGTTGCAGGCATCTCTCCATCCAAACTGCACGGCCTGTGATGCTGACTGTTAGCAAAATATCTCATGAACCACTGGAAGGATTTTAATTAAACTGATGGGACGTCTGGAATCAGTGCAATTAAAGATGGCCGCCACAGCTAGTAAACCTCAGCAAACACAAAAATGACTGTTAAAGACAATGAGGTGAAGCTTGGTCTGGTAGTAGCTGAGAGTAACCCCCAACTCGTGCTCCGACTCCAAGGCAGCAGGTGATTTCAGCCAGTTCTGAAATAAACTCGTCTAAACTTCTTACATAAAACAAATTCTTCAGTTTTGTTTCCCGCTTTAAATAAAGACATAAAAATATTTATTTTCACCTTTTTTTAATGAACCCTGATTATTGATTAATTACAAATGAAGCGAACAGATTACAGAAACAGAAACATGATAAAAAGTCACCGCTGAGGTGGACGAGTTAAACAGCACGACGCTCGAGTCCTCCTCAGAATCCTCCAGAAATAAAAAATATTTACACACAACTTAAACTGTCCTCCCCCATTGTTTACATCATGGTAGAACGCCCCCCCCCCCCCCCCACTGTTGATTAATAACAAATAAACGAGCAGAGTTCATGGGAACGAGTGCAAACTGGTACGAGACACAAACGGGCCGAACAGAAAGTAGTCATGTTAATAAAATAACGAGAAAAACAGAAATAAACCGACAAAACGGCGTCGGTGAGCAAGGCAGCGGTTCAGGTTCAAGTCCTGAAGGTTTCATTCCAGCGGATAAACGTGTAAGACTTTAGAGAAGCTGTTAAAAACATGAGATCTGGACCAGGAAACTGTGTGTGTGTGTGTGTGTGTGTGTGTGTGCACGGCCCGACCACAGCGCGCGCGCACAGAGTGAGGGATGATGGGAAGTCCCGCGTGGCTCCGAGGTTTTGTCAGACTGGGTCAAGTTTTGGTGGTCGGGCGTCTGATGTCACACGTGATGTCATGCTTCCCTTTAAAGTAACCACAGTAACCAGTGTGTGTGTGTGTGTGTGACGTGCACACACACAGCTGCTCAAACCAAAGCTCAGACCCGTATGTCGTCCAATCAGAACCAGAACTGCGAGCGGCAGTTTGAACTCCACAGATGTTTTTTTTTTTAAATTGCCCACTTCCCCGTCTCACCTTAAAGAGTTTGTTCACATCTTTTGGAGGTTATGAACAGTAAGTGTCTTACCGGTTGAGGATGGATGTTTTAATGGTGTCGGTGTTGTGACTGCTGGTCCGAACCTGCAAACTTTCACTTCAGTTTGTGGAAATATTCTATAAATCTTTGCCTTTACTTTGAAATTTCCCAGTTATTTGACACGTTTTGGGTTTTTACGAGCAGTTAGCGACAGCAGCAGCTAGCTGTAGCACTTCCTTCAACATTTGTTGGATTAACTAAAACCGACAGTGAAAAGGTTTACGTCTGAACTGCTCTGTTGGATGGAAGTGGTTCTGCTTGGACTGGAATGAGATAATGAGTCCAAGTGGCACTGAGGCCAACCCAGACGTCCCTGGACCTGCTCCAGATCCTGCTGGGAATGGTCTGGTTTGGCTCCTCCCTCTGGAACGTGCCCCCACCACCAGGAGGTTCAAACCAGATGTCAGAGCAGCTGACTGATTTTAATGAGGAGCATCTTGAGCTGCTTGGATCCAGGATCAGGTTCTATCGGTCCTGATCCAAACCTCATGAATGTACAGGTGATGACTAACAAACTAGTAAATGTGCCTTTCAGCTCAGCTTCTTATTCACTACAATGGACCAGAGCAACACCTTCATTACAGTGTCCCAATCCATCAGTCTGTTTTATTTAGACTCTACTTCCTCAGGTGGCTGAGGCGAGCTGGTCTGGAAGCTCAGTCCTCACCTCCTTCTACAGGTGTGCAGTGGAGAGCATCCTGTGCTCCAGCATCAACGTGTGGCATGGAGGCTGCACAGCTGCAGAAAGAAAAGCTTTGCAGAGAGTGGTGAAGGCTGCACAGAAGATGTTGGAGTCAGTCTCCCCACCATCACAGACATTTACACCTCCAGATGCAGGAAGAGGGCCACCTGCATCATGAAGGACCACACTCACCCAGCACACACACTTTTTGTCCCGCTCCCCTCAGGAAGGAGGTTGAGGAGCATTAAGTGTAGAACCACTAGACTGAGGAACAGCTTCTACCCTGAGGCTGTTAGACTCATGAATATCTAACCAGAATAATCACTGTGATGTCACTTATGTGCTGCTGATCTCATGCTGCTGATTTATTTCATCCTGCTGTGCTCATTCATCATCTGCTCACACACTCATGTTTGTGCTGCTGTTGTTTAACGTATTGTTTTTGTACTAGTACTTAGTGTATTTTTAGTTCATATCTTTTACTGTTTTTCTGTACAATTTATATTTTTGTTGGATGTAACTGGGACTCTGTGTACACGAGTTTTTTTTATGTGAATGTCAAAGAAACCTCGACCGTAAGTCCACAGGAAGTGCTCCAGGTCGCACAAAAACCCGTTTAGCAACAACTAGCTGCACTTATTAAAAAAAACTGACCGCAGTTTAAAGAGCTTTAAAACTAAATTCACATTTTAGTTGATTTAAGGGGCAGCAATAAACTTTGGTGTTTGCAGGGTCGACTAGCATTAACTTGTCAAAATTACTTTTTCTCCAATCTGAAGTTGCTCACGCAGCCATCTACAACAGGTAAGCTACTGTTTAACCATAAAAGCTCCAGAGAACCCCACTCCAAAAGATGTGAACTGTCCCTTTACCTGCTCTAATTACTTTATCAATTTAAATATAAAAGTTATACAAGTTTCATCGCAGCTCAACGGTCGAGAGAAGGCAGAAATATATACTGATAAGATGCCCGTCAGAATACATATATATTTACATCTTCACTATTAAAAATAACACCTAATTTGTATCAAATGATCGTATTGAAATATAATATTTGATTTCAATATATATTTGAATAAAATATATAGGTGTAATCTGTTTATGTTTTGTTTGACAAAAGCCAAAGGCATGGTGGTTTCATGTGTGGGGGGTTAAATGGATAAAACTCAGAAAGGCACGATCTTGTGGGTTTCTTTAGGAATAAAATGACAAAAATATATTTTTATATGTATCTCAGCCTGAGTGAGCCTCGACGCTCCACATTCATTAAATGATTCTCCCAGAAATAAATCCGTCCTGAAGGCGCTCGGACCGACGCGAATGCCCAGAGACGCCGTCCTCGTCCCGGAGAGGGAGGACGGCGTGTTTCTACAGGAAACGAGTCCTTTGGGTTAAAACGAGGAGGAATGCAGGAGCTGCTGGTTGAAGACTCGTCAAAGTCTCGAGGCCCGGCGGGTCCACTCGCCTCCTCAGAACCCGAGTCAGGAGGAGAATCAGACGTCGGCTCGTCTTCGAGTCGCTGCGGCAGAAGTGCCATCGTGTCCGAGCTGCTTCGTTCAAACGCTTCGGTGTCGTCCTGTAAACAAACCGCGCGGTGACGGGACCGAGGCACTTCGAGAATCTCTACATGGGGCCGAGTCAGTAACGTCACCATCTGCCCCTTACAGGGAAATAAAACTGAGCTGATGCGACTCAACAGATTACACAAATAATCTGGGCCTAATCTCGACTTTCTAACAGAACTGGCACTACAAAGTTCATGTGGCGCTCACGAAGGGACCCCGATGGGTTCAAGGCGCAAACGCCTCCACGTGCGAGGCGTTGAAGGTTACTTACACGTTAGTGTTAAAAACATACACAGTTGGACAAAACACCGGTGTTTTACGGCGCTGAAGGCACCGCGGGCACGTCCACGGATCACTGACGCCTCCGCGTCGCCACAAACGGCGACAACCTGGAAAAGGCAGATTCATTTTGTTCTTTGCTTTCGTCAGATCCCACGCAGCGGAACATTTTGTTCAGTATTTAGGGAGCAGGCGAGTCAGGGAAAAATGGCCGACAGCTCCTTGAATTATTGCACAAACAAAACAACAACTAAACTTTGTACACGTGACACAAACACATTTAGATTAAAACTAAAGAACAAAATGAAATCGTGTTTTAGTTTTCGGTCTTGTGCGATCCGTAACATCTGGATCCAGATGTGTGTGTCCATGTGAGCACCGGTGTGTGTGTGTGTGTGTGTGTGTGTGTGTGTGTGGAGCTCAGCAGCCGGCGTTTTCCAGCGACAGCTGAGCCGTGGCCTTCTGCAGCTCTGAGCTCGCTCGGCGCTGAGCGGGCGCTGGCGGCAGCTGCAGACCCAGGATAACTCCTCTTCCTCCTCCGTTCTGCACCTCCCCTGCTCTTCCTCCCACCTCCTCCTCTTCCTCTCCCTCGGCCCGGACTTTCTTGTCCTCCGCCTCGTCCCTCTCTCCGTCCGCCTCCATCTTCTGGTCTTCGCTCCAGCGGCGTTTGAAGCGGAGTTTGAGCGGGATGCAGCGCGTGCCCCCGGGGCTGACCGGCGCCGCCGGGCCCAGCTCGGCCTTCAGAGGAACGGGCGGGCCGCCGCCGCCGCCAGGGGGAGGAGTGGCGGGCGTCTTGAAGACCTCTTCATCATCGTCAGGATCATCCTCGGGGTTGATGTGTGGGGCAGCGAAGGGGCTGCTGGTGTTTCCGTTCGCCCGGAGGTGGTTCAGCTGATGATGATGATGACGGCTGCTGAAGATCCCACCTTCATCATCCTGGTTGAACTCGTCTTCCTCGCTGATGTCCGTCACCTCCACGTCCTCCTCAGACATGTCTGAAACGGGCTCCACCTGCACAGGAAGAACAGTTTATTTCTGAGTCTGAGCTCAAACTTTTCTCCGAGGTGTTTTCAGGGACTCACCTTGATCTTGGGAGGCGCTCCTCCCGGGACAGAACCGGGCATCAGACCAGAACCTGCGAACGACGGGGGCTGGATGGAGGAGGAGGAGGAAGCCGGCGAGCTTCCCGACTCCCTCTGTTTGCGTCCGAGCGGCGGCGGCTGCAGCTTGAACTTGAACGACGACAGGTGAGAGTCCTCGCCGCCTCCCGGCTGCTGGTTTAGAGAGTGGGGGAGCGGCAGGGGCGGGGCGTGGAGGTGGTGGGCGGTGGGTTTCTCGAGGGTGGGGCGGTGGGGCTGCGGGACCACGATGTTGGGGTAGTGGAGAAAGGCCCGCGGGCTCAGGTGGTAGTTGTAAACGGACTGGGTGTGGGCCTGCAGGTAGTGCTTCATGTCCTCCGGGTTGAAGGAGAAGTGGGAGCCCATCATGGGGGAGGACAGGGAGGGGGAGGGGCTGTAGGGCAGGAGGGGGGTGGGGGTCATAGACAAAGCTGGGGACAGAGTCGGGCCCAGCAGACCTCCAGGACCAGGCAGGGGGGAGACGGGGAATGGAGACAGAGGCTCCGGGTGGACCCGGGGAGCGTGTCTGAGGAGCCCTGCTGGGTTCGGACCCCCGTAGAGCCTGAAGAGAGACTCGTGAGGGAGGCGGGGAGGGAGGAGGCCCCTGAAGGCTCTGTCAGGCCCCATAGCTCGCTCCTCGGTGCCGGGGGCTTCCTCCAGCTCAGAGTTGGTGGAGGTTCCGTCGCTGCAGTCGCTCACAGACCCGCGGGCCATGCGGCGGCCCACGGTGCCGAACACCCCCGGGCTGCGCAGCTCCTCGCTGGAGGACAGAACCTCTGACGGCGTGGAGGGGGGGAACCGGAAATGTGTTCCTCCAGTCGGCACAGGGGGGGCGCTCTGTGGGACTCCCCGACCTGCAAGGAAGGAGATCAATTACAAATCTGGACCAGAACCGAACAAAAACAGTTTTATTGGTCAGGTCCCCATCAGGTGCCTGCTGAACATTTTGTTGGACTTAGCCTTTAGCTACTGATTGGCTGGACCTGGCCTTTAGCTACTGGTTGGCTGGACTTGGCCTTTAGCTACTGGTT